ATGAAACTTCTGAACATCACTGAGATCTTAGTTAACACGGATCAAGGAGACAAATGTATCCTTAATCACGCGCCAATCCGAAATATTTCCTGAAAACGAAGGAATATTAATTACAGGGAGTGTTATATGAGACCTGCTTTCTGGTTGGGTTTTATCTCGAAACGATATATCGCCCTCTGTTGATTCATTAATTATATCAGATGAAGCATCGAATGACAGTGCTTCATAAAAATGGTTACGAATTTTATCCTTAAGTTCATTAAAATCTTCAATTGTTGTCTCCGTGTTTATAGCTAATTTTCTAATTTCCCGATATTTAAGAAGAGACTTATCATATGTTAAATCAATACGGAAGAGTTTTGACCGAAACAGGTCCTTTTTACTGGGATCAGTACTTGATGCCCGCCCCAGAACGCTTGTATCTAGAATATCAAGGGCGAGATCTGTAAACTCATCGATTAGTAATTTTAAATTTATCTCCTCCAATCCTTGCAATCCAAAGTCCTTCGTAAAATCCTCAACGCTCCTTACTTTGTCACAAATAAAATAATCCATAAAGACCTTAATGTTCCATATGTTTCCGATTTGGCCCAATCCAGGTACCTATCCTTCCATAACAAACTGCGAAGCTTGTTACTATCGAAGCTTCTAGATGGCCCGAGTAAAAAAGACTGTCGATCTCCACTCATAGGTAAGTGCAGCTCGTAATGGGGGGTACCATTAACTAGTCCATAAGACAGGTGATTATTTTTAACATTTAAAACTATATAAAGTTCGACAGGAGCAGGACTACCCATATGATTTTATTTAATTTTATCAACAATCGAAATAAAATGTAAATAAATATATTGTGTTGATTAGCAAAACTCTATAACATTCGTTACAGATATTTATAAAAGTTAATCAATCTTAATTAACTTAACCCATATTACTACTAAGCAATTAGTAATAGTTCTCTTGATTCATGTAAATGTTGTTGTGTAAATTAAACTTAATAAAAAAAAAAAACGAAAATACTTTATAATCATGATTTAATATTTATAATTTTGTGTGAAATAATAAATTAAATAAACGTAACAGCCTGAAGAGATAGTAATATAGAGAAACAATATTTATAAATGTCGTATCGACAGTTATCAATCCGTAACGGCCCAAACAATTTTAAATATTTCGGCATGACATGACTAATTTTCTAGGAATAGCATCAATTCAACCAACGGAACACATCGGATATGTAATCATTTTTATATTAATTTCCATTTGGTCCTTGCTGGTTTCTACTATTAGAGGTTCCGCACTCTCGCATCTGGTAGTGTTAATGAGACCTCACGCAAGCACCTCCAATCCGCCCCGCGAAAGTTTATTTGATTACTTCGTAAAATTAAAAAAAAAATATCAAATTTAGCAAATTGCTCAAACAAGAGGTTACCACGATATTTATTGCATGGTGTTTGTTCTCTTAGAAAGCTCATTTCACTAATGAGCACAGGCGAATCTACGGGGAGAAGGAGAGGAAAAAGGGGGCTTTCGGGCTGAACTCCCCCCCCCCCAAATGGTAAAATATAACCATGTCCTATGAAAAAATATTGTTAAAAATATTATTGTTCGTGCAATACATTTAATAGGACTTCAAGAATCACTTATACACCATTTTATATAATTTCTTCCTTTTTATTCCAAAGTAATTATTGGTTACTGAAATGTCATTTTTTTTCACAAGCCTTGGCCCGTACGACTTAGGTGGAGTTCTCAATGTGGTCTGAGGGCCACAACGTTTGAAGACCCCTGATATAAATAATGTTGTATACTGCATAAAAGCACTATAAAAGTATTTTTACATCTTTGATTAGCCCTCTCATTTTCACATTTGGGGCGTTTGGTTACTATCCCCTCGCTTGAACACTCATCCGTGTTCACTTACACTATCACCACCCAGCACCGCGAGCCCCGTTGAGACCTACACCAAAGGCCAAGCCATGTTATAATACAGAAGAAGTTCAATAAATGACATTTTAGTAGCACTATCAACAACATCATGATGCGACTCAAATAACTGTTGGTTTAGAGACATGGACTTTGTGGTCTAAGTTAATCTAAGTAAGTGATTTTCGTACGAACTGGTAAAAATTAATCTGCCCTGGATATAAAAGAGGACTTCATTTTTTTTTCAATTCGTAGAATTTTATTGTAACTTTATTTATTTATGATAACTTATTTATCTAATTATTATAACTTGTTTATTTATTTATAACTACTTTGGCTGCTTCATCATTTACACGAATGTCGAGTGACTGAGAAAAAGGTTATTGTATTCGCTCTGATCAATGACAGAGTACAATTTTCTAATGTAGGGATAATCTCAAAAAATGTGAAAAAAGTCTTAAGAAGACCCTCAGGCTCAGAACAGACAATCGTCAACTTTTACTGATGAACATACATGTTGAAGTGATTTTAAAATGGCCGTCACATATAAAAGGAAAAGTTGACGAAGAGCTTTCCAAGCCTGTTCACCAGCTATGGTTCTCAGGCAACTAGAGTCCTCGGTAAGAATTTTAATTCTGGATTCTAAGCAGTTTGAGACCGCGAGTATTAAAGCGTAAACCTTAATATTCTCTAGTCTTGCTACGCCCATTGGAACCCGGGCTGGGAGGATTGAAATATATTTCATGGCGGACCCATGGAATGAATCTCGACCTACCCATTCCGGGTAGAATTGGTTTTGTTCTACCTCTACCCACACATGCCAAAAATGGCGAGGTAGAGGTTATCGGGGAGGGGGAGGGCTACAAACAGTATCTTAGGTGAAATTGTGAGTTTATATTTTTTAATCTTAATTTTTTTTTTTTGGAAACAGCCGCGGTGATTCGAGGAGCCCAGAAGCGGATCCCTACCGAGAGCCAAATCATCGGGAAGTTATGTGGCTAAAGCACTCTAGCTCAATCTCCACTGGGTTTAGCCAAAGTGACGCGGTTGAGAGAGAAGTGCAGGGATCTCCTGGAGTCATGCTTTTCCCTCCACAGTTGGAGGGACAAGTCTGGTTTGGAGTTCTCTCGCCAGATTGTAAATATTGTATATAGGTATGTATGTGTTCTTCATATTTATTTATTTTTAGATTATTTTATTCTTATTTATTGATTATATATATATTATTTTTTTGTATAATTTATTTTATTTATTGTACATAGAGTTTGAATGTGGTCTCTGAACACTATTATAAATGTCCTTGAGATAGATTGTAATATTTTTCAATAAATAAGTTTAAAAAAAAAAAATTTTATTTACTTACATATTTGTTTGTTTTTTAAATATTGAATGTAACCCGATTAGCGTTATGGTTAATTACCAACAATTAGCAGATCCTTATAATTTCCTATACAAAGTTAAATTACAAATACTTGTCAAATAAATAATTTATGGACCAACACAGCTTTTTCCGAAAGTCTGGCTTTCTTAATAACTGCAAACTAAATAATTGCTGTAATTTATGTATTAAAGCCTAAAATTTAATTTAAAAGTGTATGAATTCGATTCTCAAACAAAATGTTGAGCATATATATATATATATATATATATATATATATATATATATATATATATATATATATAAAATAATGATAATAATAATACATTAGACCGAAGAAATGATAGAAAGATATTCGTCGGTGCATGTAGGGATAGCAAGGAGAAGGGGAGTTGTTGCTGGAATAGGAACAGGTGATGTAAATTTCATAGAGGAGCCACAAACCGGTCCAAGAGTAGCCTTCCGCTTCCCCAATCTCCCGCGTCCTCGACTCTTTCTCACCACTACATCTACTAAAATATATCTACTCTTATATTCATATTAAATATTTGGTATCAACTCGCAACTCTATTCCAATACTAACAATGACAATCACTTACAACAACTTATTAAAATTTTACAAACCACAAAAAAAAATCATGTTGGATTAAAAAAATAATACAGTATATAATGTTAGACAGAATAAGGACATTTCATACCATGTCATATCTTTCTGACAGGTGCTCCCTCCTAACCAGATTACCAAATATTTCATTACTTTTTGTTATTTATTTCTTTTATCACCTCGCTCGGGAGTCAGGCACGAAAGAGGCCTCATTATAACTACTCCTCAGTTTAATTTACTTTTTTTTTTTAATTTGGAAAAATATGTAAACATTTTACACTGTCAAATTACACTCTGGCTGTATTTGTAATAAGACAGCCGTTCTACAATAAATACATCCAGAAAGTAACTATGGTGCTTAAGGTATAAATTATATTTTCAATTTTACTTGATTGATATAACGAATTAAAACACGTTTATGTTGATGTTCAAATATTTAGATAATTTTTTTAAAATTAAAAACTGACATAGGAAGCATCAAATATTTAAGGCGTAATAATTGTTTATTATACATATTTCAAGTAAGGAGGGATAAGCAGAACACTTTGTTTTTTTAAATTGCACTTTATTTTATTTATTGTGTATTCTTTTCAAGATATCCTGATGTTTTCAGTAGGGAAATATATACTTTAAAACTGAAAATCACCTGAAATAATTATCCAAATAACATTTATGAACCTGGAAACTTTTTTTTTCTTAAAATATGCTGAACAACATTCTCTAGCTTAGAGATATAATATGCTAAGGTAAAGAATATAAGATGGAATACAAAAACCTCCTTCATATTCGCTTCCCGTAAGTCGAACAAAATACAAATATACACATAAAAAAAAAATATATATATATATATACGAAATTGTTAAGAAAGCCTAGTACAAACAACTAATGAATCTTTTCTCCACATATTCTATAAAAACTGAAGAAGACGTAAAATGACAACCGGAACTGGAGGGAACGTCGCAGATGTCGCTCCAATCACCGGAAGGGATGGAGCGAATTGTCCCTCTCCGGCCGAGGTTAACACTACCAATAAATAACGTCCATGAATTACAAAAAAGTAGAGAACAAAGTTGGATAATCATCTCAAAAACTCACCATGAAAGACTGCGGAGGGGGTTGTTGTACTTGTGGTGGGGGATACCACCAATGGGGGGTTTGTGACGGACCTCCAAACATGTGATGCTGTGCAGCTTGCCAACCTTCCCACCTCTCTTCAGCCATCCTGCAACTGACTGCCGCTCGATAGTCTCCTTCATCCCCACCCCCCCAACCCTTCCCCCTCCCCACCACCCGCCCCTTTCAATTTAACTTTACTTTTTACTGGCTCCTTATATCCAGTTTCTCATTTGTTATAAATGAGAAAAAGGAATTTAAAACTTTCCAGTCCAATTTAAATTTTTCTTTTCCATAAATATCAATCATTAAAGGATAGTTTTTCTTACTGTTTGTTTAAATATATGTGTGAGTGCATATATATATATATTAGATAAATACATTAAGATCTACAAAAAAGTTCATATAAACAATTGCCCAATTTCCAGCAGAGAAAGTAGGAAATTTAAGATTTGTATTTTTTTACCGAGTCTTGTTTTTTGTTTAATAGTAAGCGATAACTTAAAAAATATTTGATTTAAGTAACTAAAGATTGCTCCATAGTAAATTAGACAAAATATTCTTTAAAAGAAAATTGAGTTTGTCATTGTGGACAAACACAGCTTCGTTTAAAAATAAAAGACATAAATTATTTGTGAAATTTTTTACTGTCATCAAACTATCAACCACTTATAGAAAATCTTTCTCGTTTAATTATCTTTAAACCCATATTAATTAAGATGAGGTTTATATGGAAAAAATTTGGATTCATCGCAAGTTATGTAAAGTCACCATTAAATACCCGTGTTTTCTACAAAAATTACTACTGTTAACTGTTACAAAGCTTTTGTTTCTTGTTCAGTAATATGGGATTTATTGTAACAAACATAATTGTTTTAAAACATATATTATAAACATAAAACATTGAAAAATAACGATTATTTAAAAGAAGGAGATGGTCCGGGGTGGCGGTCATAAAAAAGGCTAAATAGTGGCAAAATTATTTTATTGAAAGCCTGTCACCTTTGGCTTCTAATAAAATAGTTTTGCCACTATTTAGCCTATTTATGACCGCCACCCCGGATCATCTCCTTTCTTTATAATGCAACGGTCAACTATTAAGTATTCAAAATGATTATTTAAATATTTGTCATTATTATGTCATTAAATTCTGTGATTATGTAACTGTGTTTTTCTCCCAGATCTTCGTCATAAGAATTGATATTTATTTATCAGTAACAAACGTAATGTTTCTTGTTAAAATTTACGTTTTATTTTTTTATTTCTTAATGACATTTACAACTGTATTAAATAAATACATCTAGTAAATTTGAACATAATGGATATAATGACATGAAAACACTTGCTGAGTAACTGCCCAATGGTAGCACTCTAATGATATGTTTACATTAGGAGATCACGGGGCCGTCTTCTTTTGAGACACTTCGGAGGGTTATGAGGAATTGAAGAGGAAGCAATTTTAGAATCGAGAGGGTTGGGATGATTCTGAAGTTTATCATGGAAGGATAGGTATCTGGATTGGGCCAGATGTGAAACAAAAGAAACATTAAGGTCTTTATGGATTATTTTATTTGTGACAAAGAATTGATTATTTTAAGAAGAATTTTGGATTGTAGAGATTGGATACGAGAGGGATTCGATGGTATAGTGGAGCCCCATAGCTCAACTCTGTAAGTCCAAATAGGTCTTATTATTGTCAAGTATATGAGTCTTTTGTAATTAATTGGAAGTCTATTAAGTTTGTCTAGTAAGTGCTAAAGTAATCGGAAAAGTCGAGCGATTTCTTGTCGTTTCAGTCTAGTATGAGGATTCCAAGTTAGTCGTTTGTCCAGGTGGAGTCCTAGGTATCGGATTTGCTCAACAGGGATAAGTGGTTTATTGTTAAAGGAAACTGTAGGACAGGAAATTCTTGGTTTACGACGAAGGGTAAAGGTAATTTGGTGGGATTTATTGGAGTTTATTTTAATCCTCCAGTTTTGACACTATTCTTCAAGATTTATGATTTGTGATTGAAGCATTTGGGATGCAATTGATGAGTCATTATTTACTGATAGGATACATGTGTCATCGGCATATGTGGTGATAACAGTGTTAAGATAGGTAGGGATGACAGCTGTATAAACTGTATAGAGGATAGGACCTAGGATACTACCTTGAGGAATACCAGCGGACTGGGAAATAAGGTATGAATAGGCGTTTTTGTGATTTACTTTAAAGTATCTATCAGTAAGGTAGGAACGGATAATGAGGAAGTATTTAAGGGGTAGGAATTTTCGGAGCAGTCCCGGATGCCAAACTCTATCAAACGCCTGTTCAACGTCGACCTGTTCAACGTCGAAAGACTCCCGTACAGTACATTCTGCGCCCCAATGTACTACGTCTACCACACGATGACATTGCTGCATAGAGGAATGGGAGGTGCAGAATCCAAATTGGTGATCTGGGATTATGTGTTTAGAATTTAGGATAGGGTACAGGCGTTTTAAGATGAGTTTTTCTAGGATTTTGCCCATAATGGGTAAAGGAGAGATAGGACGGTAAGAGGGTGGGTATTCTGGTGGTTTTTTGGGTTAGTGGATCAGTTTAACAATAGATCGTTTCTACGGATCAGGAAAATATGTGGAACGGACAGCATTATATTTGTAAGTAAGGAATAGGATGGCTTTTCGAAGAAGAAGTTTCGGATCTGGGATGTAATAGGTCATGTCCAGGAGCATTACAGGAGGGTAATTTTTGTATGATATTGGATATTTCTGTGGGATGAAATGCTTTGGGTGGCAGGGACATTTGGAGAGGAATATCCAGTTCTGCTTCAATACAATCGATGTGAGTTGAATTAAGGATATCGGGATGTGGGCTAAAAGTTTGGAAGAGATGTTGACCAAATATTTGGACTTTCTTCGCCGGATTTGGACCAGATTTGGAAATCAGTAAGTAGTGGGTGATTAAAGTCTTGAAACTTGAGAAGTTTTTTGGTGGTCATCCATAGTGATTTGTCAGTGGTTTAAGTTTTTCAGTCAGGTTAAGTAATTTTTGAGCTTTAAATTACCTGATTTCTGCTTTTAGTTTGTTAGTCAATTCCGTATAGTATGTTTTATCTGAGATGGATGGCTGTTGTTGAATGAGGTGAAGTCGGCAATGCTGGGAACATTTCCTGATTTTCAATTTCAGGTGCCTCAGTGTAAGTTTTCTGAGCAGATCCAAGATTTTTCACCGCTGATTTTCGTGATCTTTGTTTTTAAAGATTTTTATATACTTCACAGCCTCTATAGCTCGCAGGATGGGCTTCGCCACAAAGAGCACACGTCGCTGGCTCATCTCTTGGCTTCTGGCAAGTGTCTGAAGCGTGTAGGACGGCACATTTAACGCATCTGACTTCGTGATAACAATAGGCCTTTGTATGCCCCAAGTTTTGACACTTAGTGCATTGTACTATTAGAGGTTTCTGTTTCGGTTCCTCAAAACGAACTATTGAGTAAACTAATCGTTGAACCTGGAATATTTCAGCATTGGTTTTTGCTGGTTCCAAGTCAATGAAAAATAATGGTAGCGGATATCTTTCCCGTATGTAGCACAGGTGCTATGTGCCTGACATTATGACCGATTTCTTCTAGGTCCGATTTGATAGCAGATATGGGTGTGGTTGAATGTAGTCCACTCGATACGCCTTTTCTTGTTTTAATTTATAACAATGGAAGTCGTAGTTATTGGTTGTTAAAAAATTGATCAGTTTTCTATAATTGTCTCTAGAATTAGTATTGATTTTAATGTCGTTCACTCTCGAGTAACAGCAAAAATTTGGCTGTCTGATCAAATCTGCAATTTGTTGACCGAACGACATAAAGTTTTTAATTTTTGAAACAAATATTGGTAGCGGCTCAGGATCAGAAAAATCTTGAAGCTGCGGAGTCTTGTGAGATACGTTGTTTTCTAGAATTGAATTTTTGCTTTCTGATGAGTTTGGTGCAGTTGGCTCTGAATTAGTGGCATTAGATTTGGTCCTGGTTCTCGGTGGAGATTTATCATGTTCTGCTTACTTATTTGATATATTATTTTTTTTTTTATCAGATGTGTTTTGTCCCGATCCGGGAACTGAGTTTCGGAGACGCTTTTGGAGTGTACGCCTTTTAAAATATTGCGAGTCGGTCTCGCTGATTTCTGAAAAGGGTGTCTCGTCTTCCGTGTCTTCACATGACGTGTTCTTATCCAGATCCATGATAAGTGTTAGAGAAAAGAAAAAAAAAATCTATATACAAAACACTTAAAACTATGACAAAACACTTAAGACTATTTACAGTAGGAACAATTATAATTATACTCTTTTGAAAAATAAAATAATAAAAAATACATTGAGTTCTTCTTTAAAATGAGGTGTTTTTCTGCTAACAAAGAAAAGACAAAGCTGACAGTATAAAATATCAGTGTCTTTAAATAATGATTAATATGTAGACTCATCATAGTCAAATGCTAGTTATAGGTACAGATATTATATACCAATAAAAAAAAAAAACAATAGATGCGGTCAGTGGCATTAAGAGCCGGATGATATTGTAATATCCCTAGTGAAGTTCATAGTATAGAACAGTACTATCGTTTGATGATGAAATGTATAATATCGAAAGTTTAGCAAGTATCTGACTGATTTTGGGATAGGAATTGGAATAGGAGGGATTTGAATGTGGATATGGAGCGGAATGCCGAATTTTGATAAGTAGAGAATTCCAGAAATTGACAGCGCGAGCTATAAAGGAATTCTGAAGCATGAGCATGACGCAGATCTGTGCGAAGGGATGTAGAGGTCAGAAGGTCGAGATCTTGTTGAAAGGGAATGGACTGAGGACTTGAATTGGAGAAGGTTGTAGGCGTAAGATGAACGATATATATATATATATATATAAACCTAAATATTAAAATTAAAATGTATGACTTCTTAAAAACTAAGCTATTTACGTAAATATATACAGATATAAAATAATTCATTTCCAAAAAATAAATAATCAAAGACAAGAATGAAATAAAAAAGTCTTTGGAAAAAAAAAATAAAGAAAAAAATTATGTAAAATGTCTTGGATTCGAACTGAGAATAACATTGAAGAATGTTATTGTACACAGTGCCG